CCGTTTCGGGGGAAGTTTTGAGGTGAGCTACAGCAGTAGTTACAGGAGGTGGCGATGAGAACAAGTCGAAAGGACCGTCATTCGTCGGAAAGCCACGAATCATTCCAAAAGACGGTGGAGCCCTTATAGTGATGGAATGCAAAGTAAAAAGCCCCACACCGCCAGTGGCAAAGTAGGAAAATCTTTCATTTTGGAATCTACCTATGAATCTCTAATAATTGTAACCCTATGTGCAGATGGTTAAAAGACGGCGTACCACTACAAATGGGAGGTCTCTACCATGCCATTTTCGTCGATCTTGGTGATCAGACATATTTGTGTCAGCTGGAAATCAGAGTGAGTTTGCTTTTATAGAGGAACGGAAATCATAACTGTATGCTCCGTTCTCAGGGTCCGTCCGCTTCTGATGCCGGCCAGTATCGCTGCAATCTTCGAAACGACCAAGGTGAGACAAACGCCAATCTCGCCTTGAACTTCGAGGAGCCCGATCCAAATGAGCGGCAGGAAAAGAAGGTAGTGTGAGAATTTGTTAATGACATGGTGATCCAAAATATGCTGTAAATCTACAAAAACTCTTCGATCCACTTCTCTCGCAGACTCTGAAATTCGCAGATGGATCGGGTTACGGTAGATCCCGCCCATTTTTAAGTGCTCACTCTGTGGAATGCTTGTTGAGAAAACCTAACAACTGCCATACGCAATTCCGCTGTCAATATCTTTCCTCGTGGCATAGTAAATCGTGACAAGTGTAAGACATGAAAATATGAGTGAATGATTTTCAGGGACGCCGATCCCCGTCAGAGAAGAGAAAAGACACAGCATCGCCTCGCCCCCCGTCCCGGGGCAATGGCTCTCGACCTGGAAGTCCCAAAAAAGCCCTCAAGTCCCGAGAGGGTACCCCCAAGAGAAGTCTGAAAAGCAGAGAAGGATCACCTGCCAAGAAGTCGATGAGGTTAGCATTTCATTTGTGCAGTGATTGGAATCTGCTAAACAACGGTAAGTCTTTCCAGGTCCCGAACATCGACTCCAGTACAAGAATCCGGAAATTCTCTCGCACCTGAAGATGCAGCCACAAATGGAGACGCGCGCAGGTCCAGTAAGAACATGGACAAAATGGAAGTTGATTCAGGTATGTTCGCTATGCGTCTTCGCCTTCTGTACATATTTCTTAGCTCAGCCGACAATTACAGCCACTTCTAAACGTAAACCAGAGGGTCTCCCTGTCCCGCCCTCATCTGAAGAGAAAAAGATGCGCACATCGTCTCCAGCCCCACCTTCGTCTGAAGAACAAAAAAGAGCTGCTTCACCGGCACCTCCCGCGTCCGACGAAAAAACGGAGCAATCGATCTCTCAGAAACCACCAGTTTCCGATGAGAAGAAAACACGCGCAAAATCACCGCTGCCTCCTCCTTCAGAAGAGAAGAAGGCGCGTTCAAAGTCTCCAGTACCGCCATCTGATGACAAGAAAAATGGCAAGTCTCCAGCACCACCTGAACCATCTTCAAAGAGTGCTCCTGCTCAAAGCAAAAGAGATAAGTTCACACGACCGCCAATCGTCATGGAGGCAATACGATCTCAGGTGAGAGCTTGTGAAGCATTTATTTCATCGCCGTGGCGCTGATAGCAAGCTCATGCGAAGACAGCCTAGTGCGCTAACAATCACCAGTGTAAAGTAATGCTATGTCCCCGCTCAGCACCTCAGCCGCCACGACATTCCCCACCTCCCCGAACTCATGACAGAGGGCTTGTACATGCCGCGGAGTTTATACAAGACAAGTGATTAGCTGGGCAAATTTTATAGTGTTGTCAATGGATTTTTACTAGCATCTGTTAGGAAGCGTTTACCAAAACACTCAGCGTACGGCATAAATCTCGAGAAAGCCAAATTATCCTCAGCTTTATTGAATTTTTCTCAAAACACTGTCAGTTGGCAGGCTCCCCGGGTCATTGCTAGGTCGATAGTGATTCTTCTTACATCAGCCGAGCGAATGGCATTGATTAAGAGCCATCGTCGCTATGTGCTTCATAAACGCCTAGAACGAGAACATCTGGGATGCGCCTATAAAAAAGCAGTTTTGGGGAACGCGTGGGGAGGGGAAGAGGAGTAACCTTGGGATTTTTCAACTGAAAGTTCTTACTTTCAGACTGGCAAACAAGGTGATACAATTCATCTGGAAGTGGAATGGCAATGCCATACCTCGACTGTGATCGAATGGTTCAAGTGAGTTCTCTCCTGATTTTTCGAAAAACCTCAATGACCATTTACATAACAGGAGCGTTGGAGTGGGACTTTGTTCATTAAGGGTTAGTGTTTTTTTTCACCATATCCATCCTACGTCTGCTCCCATTCACAGCACCAATGAGGGTTAACCCAGCAAGCGCACCCACTAATCGAAGAGCCGTCTGACTTGTTTGAATGTTGCCTGCTGCCACTTCAAAGGCAGCGAACACGATGGCTGGAAAACGGGGCGGTCAATGACATCACCGGACGTCATTGGTGCAATGGAACTTTCAGCGCGCAGGGACGTGGTTTAAAACACCTCCCAACGCCCTTCCACCAATCACGCTCAATGGCGTAGCTAAAGCAGCTCCGCCCTCCAGTCTCGTGTTCACTGTCTTTAGGAGCAACTTTGTTCACAATCCAACTTATGAAAGGGCTCAATTTTCCGCGAATTTGAATACCTATAGTGTCCGAGTATTGCTAGTCGCGCTGTACTGAATATCAGTCTCAGCTAATGAAAGGAATTATCATATCCTACACATCGACGTTAATGTTCCATATGGTCGTACAACTTTGAAACCTCAGCTCTCCTCCCATTCAAGGGAGCCGTTGCTGCACACTATGGTGAACAGCTACAGATGCAGCTATTTGAAGGCAAAAGTCGGGCTCAATAAGGGGGTATTACGGCGATTGAAACTGAGTATAGAGATGCGAAGTGGAACGACAGTAGAGAAAGACTGAGCAAAACCGTCGACAGGGCCGTTCAAAAGCCCTCTCTCCCACTAGCAGTGAAGGAGGCTGACTTGGGAAAGAGGCACGCACAAACAAGTTTTCTGGAGATGTAAGTCGTTGTATCGGTTGATACGGCAATCAACCTAGCTGATTTCACACGTTATGCCAGCCACGCACCACTTCCGGAGGTGGGCGGTCCTAGATTGACCAGGCGGCCCTGGATTGAAATCAAACGCCCCGGGGCCTTTACGGGGTTTTTCAAGGTGGGAATTTGCTGCAATGTGTGCAGCTACCCACGTACAACCTCCAGGAACGTGAATTACTTCTTTAACACGCCTCAGCCCGACCTTTGCCTTTGAAGATTAGATTTTGTAGTGGCACGCGAACAGAACACTAAAGTTCTGAAGGGATCAAGGGTAAAAGATCAGGTATGGATCTATTTCTGAGATATGCCACTTATCCTATTGTCGTCAGAAACCACAGTGACCTTCGTAGGTGATATAGCCAATGCGAAGCGGGAACCAACCGACGCGAGAGTCAGTTTTTTATTCAACTTCGAAATTATTAGCATCTAGTCGATCTGGAAGTTATAGATGGGCCTACAATCCCTTCGGAGTCGATCAGTTGGATTCGGGTTTTATGCCTCAGCCGTGCACCGGAATGACGCCGCCTTCCGCCACACCATCTTCGCCCGCACTGCGCTACTATTCCTTGGTATTTTTTAACACATGATACCCCCAACAAATTGCTTAAATTGTGCGCGTGCATGGTGGCCAGTAAAAAATCGGTTGCGCAAGATCCAAATTGCAGAAGTACCGATAAAATAATATACGCCCAGTGACCGTGTTTTCTATGAATCAATAAAACTATCGAAAGGTAGACAATAGCAGCACCATTGGAAAGAGTGTGAAAAAGGGCTTCATACCTGCGCACATACGGCGATGCATAAATGCCAGATGTGAGAGTTTTGGTCTGCATATTGACGTTGCAATGCGTTGAAAAAAGTCGGCATTATTGTGGGTGATATGATAGGATGATGTGGTGATATTCATGGACCCCATTCTCTGTGAATGTTTTTGTACCTCCCTGGATTAATGAGGGGAAGAAAAGAATAACGATACAATTAAGTGATTGCTGAGGCGCATTTGATTGCTATGTGAGCGATTCAGAGATGGCAAGAAGTTGACGATGACGGACGACTATCATGCGACATTCGATGGCGTTAAAGCTCATCTAACAGTGAGGAATTTAACGGAAGACAAGACAGGTCTCTACAAATGCCATGCCATTTGCGAATACGGAGAAGGACAAAGCAGCGCGATGGTGAAAATGGAAGAGCCTGGTAAGCGTTTATTATTCCGACTGTCTTGAATAAAAATGGTTCAAAATCACTTTCAGAAGAGGACTTAACAAAAAGACGTTCCATCGACTTGGAGCAAAAGAAGAAGGAAGCAGAAAAGAAGCAGTCGTCATTGGGTGTTAAAGAATCTGACGAAGAAAGTAGCATTTCCACTTCGCTAGCACCAAAAAGCAAGAGGGCCAAAAGCAAAAGCCCAGTACGTAATTTACATCAGTTCGTTGATTCAATCATTACAATTTTCCCTCGAACTTCTCTTAATGACAGTTTTGCCCAGCTTTTTCCTAGGTCTACAAATTGAACAGGTATTTTGAGTAACTCATGCATTTCCTAAAGGCTACGATATTTGAGACTTTTTTTCAGCTAACTCTAATTTGTAGCACAGCGAAAGTTATCTTATCAACACGCTGTAATGAAGCCTCTGAAAAATTATTGTCATTATTACCAGGATTTAAACTAGGCCGAATTGACAAATGCGCTTGATTAGGCAGAATTTCGTTCCGAAAAACAAAAACTTGGATTTTGCAGGTTTTTTGTTTTTTGAAGATAGACCAACAGCACAATAAGTTTGTCTCCTCTCTCGGGAAAAATTAAAGATAAAATTACTAGCTTTGCCATTCGGAAGCATACCGTAAAAGGCGTTCCTTAAGAGTTAAGTTTGACGCCGTTTACTTGTTCCACTTGTTGGCCCAGGGTTGGAGGCCAGGACTTCTTTTAGCACACTTTCTTGGTAGAAGGGAAAGTTGTTGCAAAGTTGATGTCGAGAAGCGTCAAATATATCTGTATTTTCTCCTTCACCTTGGAATCGATGTGGTCAGAGACCGTTCAAAATTTGCATGTGCGTAAGGTGCGTAAGTACATACCTGAAGGACCCCGTTGATTCGATTTGGAATTACACGCTAATGTAATTCACTAATCTTCTGCTATTTCGCTTGTTCGGAAGAGAGTTCATAAAGGGTCGATTTGTATCGAACGAAGACAAATTCCCTCGTCCTTCCACACCTACCGCGCAGACAGACCACAATCCAACGCTGGCAGATTTAGGATGCGCGCTTACAATCCAACGAAAGTGTTCTTTCCAGCGATGTTTTATAGGACTAATTGTAAGCTGTTTTAGGCACCAAAGGAACCAGCATCCAAATCAGAGTCGGTGAGTTATCCTTTTCTTTCCCTAGTCGACATTTTGCCTCTAGTTCTGCTCTTCTTTTATGTGAATCAGCAATCTTTCAGGTGGCATCGGAATCACTACCGAAGCAAAAGGTGGAATTCGTGGATCCTGATGAGGTTTGTTCGTTTGAGCTTCGACCACACAGACTGTTCGGTGATTCGGGTCTAACCATGGCGGCGGCTGACGTTACATGTGTTGAATTGAATTGGGTGTCGAGTGGCATGACAGTAGAGGTAAAAAATTGTCGCAAACCACTTGACACATAAACACTCTCTGCTCGTTTTCGACACCATCTGGTTCGCAAAACTGTGAAGCCCAGTTAGTTCAAACTTTTCACTTCTTGATCTTCACCTTCATCTCAAATGAAGTTCTCCTTCTCGTCACATCACCTCATGTTCGCGGTATTTCAATTTTAGCATTTGTTAGATCTCACGTCGGCTTTGCTGTCGCAATGGCTTCCAATGGAAAGGAGGGTCGGCGTGGCCCCACGCCGATGTATTCCTTCAAGAAGGGTGGTCGAAACGAGCCACATGTATCGGAAATTCATCGATTCATCATCGAACGACTACCCAAAGGAAGGGCTAAAGCCGAAATGCTTCGAACTATTGTTGATTATTTCACTACAAAGCATGGAGTTGATGCAAAAATTCGAAATTTTGTGGATTATGATGGAGAAGAACTTTTGCGTCTCATCGAAAAGTTGCCCCCAAAGGTAACCGGCTTCATGCACTAAATTCTTATTTCGAAGCTTTCAATACTGATCGCCATCACAATTGCGAGGGAGGCTTTCCGGCGACAGACATGATACGATTTGTTTCAATGAATCCATAGATCTTGAATATTGGGTGAAAAAAGGTTGCCCAAAAATGGTATTATGATTCATAATTTTCTCAGATTTACCTCAAAAACCTCTGCAAGAGACCAGCTGAGAGATCGGGAGAGAGCGCGTGAGAGGTGGATTGTGTGAGCAAATATCCGATGGCACCGGAAGTATCATACACCTCAACATCTCGCACTGTTCACCTGTTTCAGTTCAGCTTTTTTCTGCGGCTGATTCCAGCACTCGTTCACCCATTTCCATCCTTTCATTCCTTCAGAGGCCTTTCAGAGCTTCCTCATTGAAAAAAGAAAGTGCCACAAAATTATCGGATCTTCCGATCTTGACGTGGAAACTTCGGTTATAATAGCTTTTTCGAAGTAGTGATTCTTTAATTAGAATTTTTGAACGCACGAAGATCAGGCAATCATTCGCACACGCGCGACGCAGCGTTGCTACCTGTCCGATATTTGCTTTGTTCTCGAGAATCGAACCCTTTCGTTTGTCAGTTTTATGATGCAGTTCCATCGTTCTCTGAACTTCTCTCAAAATTCAATCAAAAACTGGCTTAAATATTGAGATTCTCATTGAAGTAGAATGAACTCTTTTGCTTACCATGCGCAAAAAGTGTGCGGAAATCTCAACTACTCTACTGCCCCAGGGTTACTCTGAACACAGAAACAGTCTGAGTCATGCCTTCGCTGGGTTGTGAACAGTTTCTTTGTTACAGGAGTCTCAGGCGGACGATATCCCTTCATCGGGGCTGACAATCCCTGAGGAGCGACGACGCGAGTTGCTGGGTGAGACTAGCGAAGACGAGATTACCGAATCAATCTCCGAACTACCTTCGATTTCTGGACCACGAGTAGGGTTCAAAGGAGTTCCCGAGGTTTGCATTATTACTATCTCAATTTGCTTCCTTCTCCAAAAATGTGCTTGTTAGCGCCTTTATTTATGTGATACGTGAGGGGTTTCAAAAAAAAACGGCGAGCGGCGGCCGTTGAGTGCCGCTGAAGCGCTGAGTATTTGTCGACGTCGTGAACAGTTTTGTCTTCTAACTCATCGACAAACACTAATCGTCGCTTCCCCCTGCTGCGATCTCACTGTGGCTCATTTGTCTGCGTTGTTAATAACCCATTGCGGTTTTGAGCTGCGTTGTATACCGTCTCCGTCACCGTGCTGTCTCATTGTTTTGTGCTTTCTGTGTTATGTGTCAGTACGTGTGTATTTTAGCGTAATTCGAAGGACCATCAGAATCCGAGCGCATCCAAAGTCCCACCCAACGTGCAGGTGTTTTTTTAGGCTTATAGAGTAGTGTATGTTCATCCAACACTAACCAACATTTTAGCAGATGAGCTCCGAACAAGCGTTGTCCAGCGGTAAGCATGTGTCTCCATTCGCACGTCGTCCGCTTACAGAAGACATGAGCATGGACAGCGCGATATCGGACTCTCTCGATAGGAGCGACTCGATGTCAAGTATCCCGTCAATAGATGCCGATTCCGAAATTGCGAAGCCGAAGCCGAAAAAGGTCACCAAGACCAAATTAATCAAGAAGGCCATCGCGGCTAACGGCAAATCTTCAACAACGGAATCCGGCGACGGGATATCCAAAAAGACACCTGATAGCCCGATGGTGAAGCGAAAGCCGAAAGCACAGCCTGCCGAGGCCGTCGATAGCCCAATGGTGAAGCGGAAGCCGAAAGCAGAGCCTGGGGAGGCCGCCGATAGCCCAATGGCGAAGCAGAAGCCAAAAGCACAGCCTGCCGAAGCCGTCGATGGCCCAGTGGTGAAGCGAAAGCCGAAAGCAGGGTCTGCTGAAGCCGCCGATAGCCCAATGGCGAAACAGAAGTCAAAAGCACAGCCTCCCGAAGCCGACGATGGCTCAGTGGCGAAGCGGAAGCCGAAAGCAGGACCTGCCGAGGCCGCTGATGGTCCCATGGCGAAGCAGAAACCAAAAACACAGTCTGCCGAAGCCGTCGACGACGACGTATGTTTTGTTTGTGTTTTTGCCCATGTGAAAAATTCAGTGTTGTTCATGGGCTCTACTAACTATTCATGTTAATGCTTAACACCTGAGTCTATGTGTACTTCTCTTCCCAACGTACATCCCACAGATTTACTAAAACGGCTGCATGTGCTACCAAAAAGAAGATCAATGTACACTCCGTGCTTCCACACTCCTTAGGAATGCCACACATGTCCCTTTTGAAGCATAGCAAGCGCCCTTTATTCAGTTACGTTCCATTATTTTCAGAAAAAGAAGTATCCATTCCAGTATTTTCAAAAAACGAGAAAAGCATTGATCAATGTGTTATTTCGGTGAATGTTTTCCCGCTCAAAAGGTGACTGTCAAATGTGGAGCCGTAAGCAGAAGCAACTTGTCGGAAGGTTGATCTCTGTAAAAATCGAAGGATTTGCCAAGAAATCCTTATTTGTTCTCCTTGCATGTCAAGCACTTGACAGCATGTTTCCGATCATGTTTCAGAAAGATTGAAGTTCAGACTTATTCGGTCTGCATCTTCAAATGGTGGCCTGGCATAAGCAGTAGCCAGCCCAGACTTGTTTTCTCAGAGCACCTTCACCTAACATAAGCTATGTTATCACCGATATTCCACTCCCATCCTACCACTGTAATTCGTTTACTGTCACACTGACCACTGGTTTCACTCTCAGCCTTTTCTCTCATTGCAGGATGACAAGCCGAAGAAATCCCGTTCAAGCCAAGGCGACGCTCCTCGAGTACGGCAATGCACATAACTTTTCATAACTTCCTTAATTTTAAGTAGCCAACGTTTCCATTCACTAGCACTAACATTTTACCTTAACCAGTTTTCTTCATTGGAATTTCTTTGAATTTATTAATATTTTGAGTGCCTTTGTAAATTTCCTTTGAGTGACTTTTACAGCAACAAGACGCCAGCCAGTCCAAAAGCACCGGTCCGAAATTCCAACCAAAAATTCGACAGTTCGGAAGAAAGGAGAGCGTGGACAAAGACAGTCTTCTGAACCTTAAGCTTATGCTGAAGAAAACACCTAAAGTGAAAAAAGCGGAGGACGGTGCTTCGGACGGCGTGAAGCTGAAGCCAGTAACTCGTGGCGATGAAATTAGCGAGGCGTCTGGAAGCGATCTGGACTCATCCCGAAGAGACTCCATCTCTCTGAAGGATCCGTTCCTTCGCAAAGATTCCAGACGTGATTCATTTGTGAGCGAACCAGATTTGCTTGTTACCTTCACGACCTCTCCTGCATGCAGAAATAAACATCTTTAGCCTCGACTGAATGCTAACTTTTCCTTAGTAGACGGCTTACACATCATGCGTGCATAATTTTAAAACAGCAGTGTTTCAGTGGAGTTGAATTAATGTTTTTTAGCGCAGAAGCAGTGTGGACATGCGTCGGGAGTCGGTCCAGGAGATCATGAGCAGGGTAGTTACTCCTCTTGTTCCATCCGGACAGAAGGGCAAACCGCCGAAAATCATGGAAGTCCCGGAAAATGTCACCGTTGTCGAAAGTGAGTTTTTCCTCATTTCTTTTCCGATTTGGATATTCGGAATCGGAATGGGGCTCCTCGATGATCCTAGTAGAACTAATTTGTCGAAACAGCGAGTGGGTGATTCGGCTGCTCTCTAAGGAGCGCACTCCTAACTTAATGGATGAGGTCGCTACCGTTTCCTTTTATGAAATGATAGCTCGAGAAAACGATTACTGTATACACGAACGTGAGTGTTTCCTTGAGATAAGAGGCATATTTCCGCTCCTAATTTTGGAATTCGAACGTTCTTGGAAAGACTTTCCGCTGGTCCTCTAAGCGCACAAAAGGCTAGGCTCTTTTCCGAATTGGTCCTTCTGATGTGAATCTTCTATCCAGGTCCCTCCTTTGCGCTCCTATCCTGAAGATGAACTAGTTCCGTTATAACTCGCATCTCCTTTTTTTGGCTGTATCGGCTTTTCCAATCATACTTCGGCTGCTGATCTCTTTCTCGTAGTTGTTTATCACCATCAAATGTTTCTCCATTCCCTCCCAGTACACTCCAGATTAGGACCCGCGATCACAGCTCATCAATCCAACCCATCTCAGCCCTTTCCACATACTCGACCATTAGCTGAGTATAAATTTCAATGTTTTATTGGATGCTGAGAAACTGTGCGAGCACTCAGGTGGTGGAGCTGCATGGCAGTGGCGGCGGCTAGGTGGTGGTGTGTGTAATAGTGTGGGCGAAACACTTCGAGAACGGCCCTTGAAAACCTACGCGAATCGAGATCCATCAATGTGTTGACTGGCTGAACACTTACTGCACCCAAAGTGTTCTTTCAGTGCATCAGCAGGAATGGTTTTTCACAACCACAAAGGACCATCAATTCTACCATAAGAATTGATGTGAATGCCTTGATTTCAGACGAAACAGCAGTGCTACAATGCAGAGTGGAAGGCGATCCAGTACCAACGATTCGTTGGTTCAAGGGAAATCGAGAAATCTTGAACGGTGGACGATTCCGACACATGACTGACGGAGAGACGAACACCGTATCGCTTGCACTGCTCAAGTGTCGATCCCAGGTGGGTCAGTTGCACCAAGCAACCCCCTGAATTTTACGTTCTGAGCCTTTGGAAATCGGCAGCCATGCAGATTTAACATTGAAAATATTTGAGAAATATTCGAGCAGAAATTTTTCAAAATAATTGCTAAATTCGAAGCTAACGAATTCTTTTGCTTTAGCAGCTTTTTAGAGAGGGAGAGAGAGTGAGAGATGAAGTGAGGACCATTATATAATACTAGCGAACCACCATTCAGTCATGTGAACGCCTGAAAAAATCCAAACAGAAATTTGCAAAATACAATTACTTGGCGGATTACTGAGGTTCTCAAGCTCTCCTTCGCAACGTAGTCAAAACCTCAAACAACTTGTCCAGTAAAATTTTTGAATGAATGACCTAAAAATTCGTTGGCATCTACATTCTAGCTTTGAGAGTTCCTGGAAGGGAGCCCAATTTCTACAATTCAAGAAAACTTTTGCACGAAATTTACCTAAAGTTGCGTTCGACTGATGCTCCACCCCAAAAAGAATGCCGGTGTACTGAGGAAAGCAATTAGAAGATATCTGTCACAAACTATGTTTTTCATCACTCATTAAGAGAAGTATGTTACCAGTGTAATTGCAGAGCGAGTGCATTTGTAAATAGTCCGTCTGTTAGCGATAAAATGGCTTTATTTTTCAGCTGTAAACTCATAGAATGGAATGTTGATCTTTCGTATTACCATGAATAACAACTGAGATATTTAAAGGATGATGGACCTTACACGCTCACCGTTGAGAACGCACACGGATCGGATTCGATCGACGTCAAATTACTGGTCACATCAGACAACGGTCTTGATTTCCGAGCCATGCTTAAACACAGGTACTCAAAAATTCGCATAGGTTTTTGTTTCCTGGATGTAGATGTTATCATATCTTCCTCATCCCGGCAAGTTCCCAGCAATGCTCTCTTACGCTTCATTGAAGCGATGGGATGTTCAATCCACGGCAGCCCTTGCTGCTTTTTTTAGCAGCGGCACAGGTGGTGCACACTTTCTCGGTCGCTACTTGCGAATCTCTTTCCACGACAGCAAAGGCTCGAAACCTTCGCATTTCTGTTTTTTCCTTAATATTGCTGCTATTTGATTCTTCTTAACGTCACTCAGATGCTCTCAAATATGATTTCGTTCAGTGCCAAGAAACGGGCTTCGAAAGGTGGCAAGTAAGTTTTTCAACACTAACCTTTCCGCACTCTCGCACTCTCACTAAAATGGCTATTCGAACTGAATGCATCGCCATCTGACCACTGTTGATAAATTTTGCTGCACTTACAAAGAATACTTCTCCCTTGCTCAAACCCCTCAACACTCAAGCTTGCTTCCCCCTGTTGCTGTTCGCACACGTCCTTCTTTTGTTGCAGTTCCACGCACACATGCGCATGCACATTTCCATGGTGAAGTAACCAAGATAGGCATTAACCGCTGATATCTCAGGGATTTGGACTCAGCCGATAAGAAGTCCGAAGACGAAAAGCCACCAATGACAGAAGCGGAAAGGAGGCAGTCACTATTCCCAGGAAAAAAGGTCGAGAAGTGGGAGCAGCCACTTCAGGACTATACGGTGCAGCAGCAGGTAATGATTTCTTGTAGACAGATTCCATAGATCCCTAAAGTCTTGCCTAACTGACTCCGGCATGCTTCAACAGCGCCCTGCATCTTGTTACGACCCCACGCGACAGACTTCGCACTCAACACGTCGGCAACATTACGTCCCGATGTTGGAATATGGCCTAGGAAAAAACCCTTATGAGCAGGTTTAGAATTTCGAAGAACACCTTTCACAGTGAGGTTTTACCTGAGAGTTCTTGAGAGTGGTTTTCTTGGGTGAAGCTTGTCATTTTCAAATGGATAAAGCTGGTTTTTTATTTGGGGTTATAGCGGACTGGTACAAGTTTTGGCAAAAATTCGAATCGTTGACGAGTTTTGGATTGAAAAATTGGGATGTTCCAGAATTTCTGCCGGGGCGGACGAGAAAATTGATCTTTAGTTTGAAAACAGCTGGCATGGGAACAAACCAAGTATCAACAATTTCATTATTGAGATCTAGCCCTTTGGATGCATTTGCTGGTGTGAGCGCTTCAGCCTGAGACGTATTTTTCGGAAGTGACAAAAAAAAGTCGCGCTCCCACGCGACGGACTCGTGAAGATTGCATGTCATCAGCGTGTTGAGCGGATGCTTTTTTGCTCGCGCACATACCGCTCGGCTATAGGCCTCGTAGGCCCCCTCCCGCAGGACTGATAGGTCCGCGTTCGATGCTATGCAATTCTTTGCAAAGTACTTCAAAACATGGGGACAGAACGTACTCTAATAGAGAAATACGATCAAGTGATTGGTGAAAGACTGCAGAATTAGCCATAACAGAAGGGTTCATATGAGGCATGCGATTGGGTCCACTTTAGTAAGAGAAGATTCTTCATGGAGATTCCACGTAGGTGGTACTGAACACTGTATCATCCTTAAAGGCAGCGATTACGATCAAGTGGGAACTCATCGCGGAAGCACATACACCACACGAATCAGTTACTTGGCTGCCAGGGAAGCGAGGTGTGGCGCTTCCACGACGCAACGTTCGCTGGTTGCTGAGCAGAACTTCGAAAGCACTCCGCCCCCTAAAGCGATCCGCTTACTGGTGTATTGGTGATTTGGACGAGCTGCGTTGCCAGCAGCGGCACAACTAATGCAACTCGACTGTAGCATGGATTGGCATGCTGTCACCAAACGCGTTGCGCTGAACTCGTTCATACGTCCGCTTTCTGAGCTGTAACCATGATCAAGAGTAAAAACTAGTGGCCAAAAAAGGGTTTCCGTTTTGCGATTTCCTGACGGATTTCTCCACTTTTTTTCGCCACTGGCCTACCATTGAGCACCACCAGTCTCCTATAAACCTTCTTGAATCTATGGTGATCACTGTTTGAACCAAATAACTTCGGATAATCAATTGAAATCAAGATAGTCTCATGAACGCTTATTTTCTAGGTGGACAAATTCGCAGAATGGAAGTGTGTATATTCACGACCAAATGCGAAAATTCGATGGTACAAAGACAGGAAGGAAATTTTCTCTGGAGGTACTGGCACAAGCATTTTCATTTCATCAAGGAAGAAATAACTGGAAACGATTTTTCAGGTCTCAAATACAAGATCGTCATCGAGAAAGCGGTCTGCACATTGATTATCAACAATCCTGAGGTTGATGACTCCGGAAAATACACTTGTGAAGCGAACGGGCTACCGACCAGCGCCATACTCACAGTTCTTGGTTCGTCATAAGAAAATTTGGTGAAGATGAAATGAAAGAACTGTGAATTGCAGAACCTCCAATGAAGTACTCGTTCCTCAATCCTTTGCCGAATACGCAAGAGATCTACCGAACGAAACAGGCGGTACTTACCTGTAAGGTGAACTCACCACGAGCTCCTCTCGTCTGGTATCGAGGAGATAAGCCTATCGACGTGTAGTTACTTCTTCTTTGCGAAGTGCTTCTGTTGACTTTTTGTCACGAGAACCTAATCTGGTCGGGTTACAGAAATGACAAGCGATATACGATAGAAAAAGATGCCGTCGGTCGATGCACGCTTACTATCAAAGAAGTGGAGCAAGATGACCAAGCAGAATGGACAGCTCACATCTCGAACGAAGTCTTTAGCAAAGTGCAAGTATATGTAGAAGGTAAGTCGTCCACACAAATTCATATGCCTTCACTAAAGCCGCGCCATCACAGAACCTCGACACACCTTCGTCGTGCCCATGAAGTCGCAGAAGGTGAACGAGAACGAACCTGCAACACTCGAAACAGATGTAAACGACAGAGACGCAGACGTGGAGTGGTGGCATGATGGGGTGAAGATCAAAATCGACGGCCAGAAGTATGTACGCCTTTCCGAACAGGAGTGCTTCAGAACAGCTAACGTTTCGCTTTCCAGGTACAAAGAAGAGCGTATCAGTAGAAAACGACGACTCATCATCCAAGCAGCGAAGATCGAAGATCACGGAGAATATAAATGCACCACGAAAGACGACAAAACAATGGCACAGCTAATCGTTGAACGTGAGTACCTTGCTATCAACACTTCCTTGAATTTCTAGCGAACAAGACTCATTCCAGCACTCAACAAGTTCATAGTGCAGCTGAAGGATTTGGAAGTGGTCGAGAAGGAAGATGTGATTATGACATGTCAAACGAAGGACACAAAGACACCAGGATTGTGGAACCGCAACGGAGCAAAGATCACGAGTATGCCTGGTGAGTGAATGAGCTTGAGCTTTACAATTTCGCCGTCTTCTATAAAGAAGTTATTGCTCAATTCAGGTGGTAAATTCGAAACGTCATCCCGAAACGGTACACACACTTTGAAGATCAGTAAGATCGAGATGAATGAGGGCGAGAACTACGAGATCGACGTTGGTGGTCTCATCGGCAAGTGTTTCGTCACTGTGCTCGAGGCCGAAAAGCGCCCTGTCATCAATTGGAAACCGAAGAAAATCGAGGCAAAAGCCGGGGAGCCGTGTTCCGTTAAGGCAAGTTACCCACGCAAACTAGTAATATGTTTGCTGTGAAACTAAAACGCAGTGTTCAGATTCCTTTCCAAGTGAAGGGAACAAAACGTGGTGATCCAAAGGCAACAATCCTTCGAAATGGAAAGCCGATAGATGACGAAATGAGGAAACTGGTCGAAGTTGTATTTAACGGTGATGTGGCTGAGATCATTTTCAAGGATCCAAAGGTATCGCCTTAAGACCTTGTCAACACGTTCAAGTTTCAGTCGTGTTCGTTTCCAGGTAGCAGATACCGGCAAATGGGCCCTGGAGCTGAGTAACTCCGCTGGAGCCGCCGTCGCTCCATTCGAATTGTTCGTCAAAGACAAACCAAAACCACCCAAGGGTCCCCTGGAGGTGAAAAACGTCACAGCAGAAGGTGAGCAAGATAAGTGCGAAGTGCGTTTTACGAGCCGTATTGTGCACCAAGCGCAACAATTGAGGGCCCTGATACACTTCACACTAATAATTGGTGTGTTGCAGGTCTGGATTTAAAATGGGGTGCTCCGGAAGGAGACGAACGTCAACCGGTGAAAGCCTACATCGTCGAGGTGCAGGAGGGACGAAGTGGGCAATGGAAGAAGGTGGCGGAGACTAAAGCAACAGAACTAAAGGTCGGCCCTCTGTCACGTCTTTTTGACTTCGTTGACGAAGAAAAGTAGTAGATTTCAGGTCAAAGATTTGAAAGAGAATGGCGAATACAAATTCCGTGTCAAAGCCGTGAACGAGGTAGGAGAATCAGAACCTCTCACTGGAGATACGGTGGTCGCCAAGAACCCTTACAGTGAGTAATTTGATAACTATCTGAAATGAGAATTATGGGCAGTTGTTCAAGAGATGATGCTGAAAAATCTTCTAGTAGAATAGCTTCAAAGATAGGGATGCCGATAGTTCAAGCTAGTGCTAAAGTACGCTTCAATTTGGGAATGTTTTAGAACATATTATTGATCGATTCCGCCTCTTTGAGGCCATGTCCTTCGTCGAAATCACGGAAGTTGATGTGTTTTGGGTAACACAACTCGTCGTGATTCTAACCATATTTTAATGACTTAGCACTGACGTTTTGGACATGTCTTTTTGTCATGTCTTTGTGTTTCGTTCTAATCTAACTATGCTTAGAAAAAGAGAATGTTTGTGTGTCGCTGTTCAGAAGTACCTGGCAAACCGCGAAACATGGATGTAGCCGATATGGATAAGGACTACCTTACTCTACAGTGGGAGCCACCTGAGGACGACGGCAAATCGCCCATCATCGAGTATATCGTCGAAAGACGAGAGAAATCCGAGAAAAACTGGAATGTTGTCGGCACTACCCCTGCCGACGGCAAGGGAGTGCACTACCTTACCGACAATAAGGTCGTTGAAGGCAAGGAGTACTACTACCGTGTGAAAGCTGTCAACAAAGCTGGTCCTGGCGACCCATGCGATCACGGAAAAAGCTTCAAAATCAAAGCAAAACCAGGTTTGGCATCTATTGCACTCTGTATGCATTTATGATTGACTAATTTTTGTGTTCCATAGTTTCGCAGCTAGAGTGAATTTTGAAACGACCTACGTCGCTCTAACGATTGGCTCAACTCATGCTTAGGAATTTGTTTTCTGTTCATTAGATTAGTAAATAGAGGTGTAAGTATGTTGTGTGAGCAGTAGGCACTTTTTGTGAATACTACTTAAGGCTTTTAGTTTACGATCTATATCCGAAATTTTTTGGGACTTGATTCTTATGCTTCAATCATTGTTAAGTTTGGGAACGATGCCTATCATTTGCGAACTGAAAAAAAAACCAGAAGCTGATGACGAGAACTCAATTGATCTCAAAAAACCTTACAGTTGAGCCGAGCTTCCCCGGTGGAGGCATTAAAGACTTGCGTCTAAAAGTCGGCGAAACAATCAAATACGATGTGGCCATCACTGGTGAACCGCTTCCCGACGTGGCATGGACCGTTGATGGCAAACCACTGAAAGCCATTGGACGTGTGAAGATGAGCACCGAAAGAGGCAAGACGAAATTGAAGGTGAGTGAAAGGGTTCTCCTTATTTGGACTGAGTCAATGTCTGTTTACAGATCGAAAACGCTGAACGATCCGACTCCGGACAGTTCACCATCATGCTGAAGAACCAATGCGGCACTGCTGAAAGCACCGCAAAGGTGACGGTAGTGGGACGACCAACCCCGCCTAAAGGACCGCTCGACATCTCGGACGTCTGCGGTGATGGATGCACTCTTGCCTGGAATCCACCTGAGGTTCGAGAATTTTTCAGGAGCTCTAGGCATCCCATTAGCTCAATCCAGTTTCAGGGAGGGTTCCAATTCAAGTTTGTAGGTAAATGACCATTGGGAGGACCATTCTATTTGATTGTCATGCTGGAACCTTACTGAATACTTGTAGTAACGAACAGAAGTGATTTAGACTAGCCATGGGAGTCTTAGATATTTAGACGCTAAACGCATTCTGTTGGGTCTGAGATAATGTTACGTGATATACGGACGATTCGTACCGAGTGCTCCTACTATTTCGATTTAAATTGTGAATCAGACAGTGACCAGATCGACCAGATCAGCAACCAGACTTCTCCATTACAGGATGACGGCGGTGATCCTCTCACTGGCTATGTTATCGAAGCACAGGACATGGACAACAAGGGCAAGTACATCGAGGTGAGTGCAAAATCGTTACCTAATACCCATTTTTGCTACAACAAGCCATCAGCAGCCTATATTAGTCCATATTGTTCGTGACAATAATTAATTCAGTGACATGATCAAGGAAAATTCCCTACTCCCATTTTCATGAATCTTGAGTAAGGTGGTGTGTTTCCAACCATACACTATTAAAAAAAGATAGACCTAGGCCAGACAAGCCTTTGAAGGAGTCCCTGTACTTCTCAGAAGTAATCGCATTCATCCGTGAGAGATCAATTATAACATTTCCTCAAAAAAAGCAGATTTTGAACACGATGATGTATTCCCAAATAAGTTAAAAATTGGTCACATACGAATTCGCATGAGGCAAAACATCTAAGTCTGTTTCTGCAGTCGGTGCTTCATATGAGTTCTTAACACAAGGAAGTTTTAGGTTGGTCGTACCGATGGCAAAACCACACAACTGAAAGTCAAAGGTCTTCGAAATAAGGGCAACTACAAATTCCGGTAAGCGCATATATTTTCTCTTGAGGAACTATTCAAAAATGATGTCTTGAAGGGTGAAAGCGGTGAACAACGAAGGTGAATCCGAACCGTTGACAGCCGACCAGTATACTTTGATCAAGGTATTTTCGAGGTTTCACTTTGTCCTTCCATTCTTATCAGATTTTCAAAACCAAGTTTAGGACCCATGGGATGAACCAGGAAAACCTGGACGACCAGAGGTCACTGACTACGATGCGGATCGAATTGACTTGGCCTGGACTCCGCCAACAAAAGACGGCGGAGCACCCATCGAGGGCTACATTGTTGAGGTTCGCGATCCAGACACGAAAGAGTGGAAGGAGATCGCCAAAGTTCCAGGTAGGATGCGCTTCTCATTCGCAGTAGCCTCAGCTTCGAGGGTTTGTTCGTTCTGATTCTCAACGAAATATTATAGACACGAATGCATCAATCAAAGGACTAAAGGAAGGAAAGGAATACCAGTTCCGAGTAAAGGCTTTCAACAAGGCCGGTCTTGGACACCCCTCTGACGCATCCGAAAAGCAGCTGGCTAAGCCGAAATTCAGTAGGTTTTGTCGACCACACTGACACATGATGGCATATTGGTTCCCTACGGTACTCTCTACCGCAAGAGTAACCCAAGGGCACAACAGAACGAGTAGTTAGCTCTGCGATACTTCTTGTCTTACCATTTATACCGTTTATTTTTAGTTCCGGCTTGGTTGAAACACGATTGCTTGAAGAGCATCACCGTAAAGGCCGGTCATTCCGTTCGCTGGGAAGTGAAAATCGGTGGAGAGCCTGTACCGGAGGTGGTATGGTCGAAAGAAGACAAGCCGATTGAGCCATCACTTAATCTTAGCATTGACACAAAGAAAAACGATCACACCATTTTGTGCATTCCATCAGCAGTCCGTGCCGACAGAGGAGAGTACAGGTAAATAGAAATTACCCATTTATATATTACCAGACAGAACACCTGTTCAGCTTGATCGAGGCAAGAATTTTGGCTTCTTTTCAAACCCTTGATTTTTAGACTGTCCGTGAAAAATGCATACGGTCACGATACAGAAGTAGCTAACTTAACTGTGTTGGATCGACCGTCGAAACCGAATGGTCCTCTGGAAGTGACAGATGTCTTTGAGGACAACTGCAACCTCTCATGGAAACCTCCAGGCGAGTCATTACCAGTTTTGCTTCTTACATAGGCTTCATAACAACCTATAGAAATCAGGAAATCTGTGTAGAAAATGTATTGAAGACGAAATCTTGGCTCGAAATGTCAACATTTCAGCTGTTAGAGTTGCCCAGAATCAGCTGATTGATTTGCAGCGTTCTTGTTTTCGAAATATTCGAGAAATGGAAAAAATTGAAAGAACTTTTGCAAGCCAACCTACGCGTTTTTTTTTGATTGAGAATTGTTTGACAGGTAACTGCCTCGGGTTAACGACAGAATGAAATTCCAAAAATCAGTTATCCTTTTCGGTCGACATACTCTTTGGACCTTTTACCGCCCAGTTTTGATTTCGGTATATCTTTGGGATCCAGACCTTGTTTACATTTTATGATTCTTTGATTTGTGGTTTTATTTCATTGTCATAACCTCAAACGTCAATGACGTCAATACCTTGTTCTCCGCCCTACATTTCTAGGGAATTGAATCAGCCTGGAGGCGTTGATCGGGGGTCTACAACTCTCGCTGTTTTTGTCTGATTCGTGTCCACTTGCGGGGTGCTGAACTGCATGGAAGTCTTGGAGTTAACGAAGATTCAATTCCTCTTGAGACGATAGGGAGTGACATAGTGGATTGGGTAGGGTTCCTACCTAGTGGGACGACAGGTGACGCTTCAGGGGTAGTGGCGCCTTATCAACGGCGTGATAAGGCGCCGAAACTCACTTCCGGTTCGGCGTTACACCTCCTTATCAGACGTGGAAGGGGATGCAGTAGCCGTGCTAGATATGATACGGTTATCGTTATCGTTCGATTTCATGCTGGAGTGCACATCATTCCAAGCAGCCGGATCTTTTAATCTAATCGTTTCGTATCTTCCATATGGTTATGCTCGTCCAACCACTATCTCCGACCTTATCGGTTGATAACGCGGAGTTCGGCGATCCACATAGAAGCCAGCGTGATCGCTTCCTTTCATATACCCCTCATTTATTAAACTTGGAACATTGCCAGGTGATCGCAATAGATAACCCAACCCCTAATCTTAAAATCACGACTGCAGCTTTCTTTCAATACACATCGACCACCTTCGAAACTCACAGTTCAGATGGCACTTTTCAGATGACGATGGAGGTGATCCCATTGAGTATTATGAAGTTGAGAAACTGGACACGGACACCGGACGTTGGGTGCCTTGCGCAAAGGTAATCAGAGTGATTTGATTTATTCTGAAAAACAAATGTTTAAAATGAAAACATTCAGGTGAAAGACACAAAAGCCCACATTGATGGTCTGAAGAAAGGACAGAGCTATCAGTTCCGAGTGAAGGCAGTGAATAAAGAGGGCGCATCGGACCCACTGACTACTGACCAAGCGACCAAAGCGAAAAATCCTTACGGTAAGCAAATTAGTTCCACTATTTCATTCACTATGGAACGATAAGAAGCAAACCTGCTAATTTACATACCTTACGTTAACATAAGTGTGAATACGTGATTTTTCAGATGAGCCAGGAAAACCACACACCCCAGAAGTAACAGACTGGGATGCCGACAGGGTTTCTTTGGAATGGCAACCACCTGATTCGGATGGAGGAGCTCCTATTACTCAGTACATCATTGAGAAGAAAGGAAAACATGGACGTGAATGGCAGGAATGCGGAAAGGTGAGCGAAACCTACATTCACTTTGGCTTCATATAGTTTCCCAAGAAACCAGTGAGCGCATTTCACGGAAACACAACTGTTTAGGTTTCTGGAGACGAAACTACGGCTACGATTTTGGGTCTCAAGGAAGGGGAAGAGTACCAGTTCCGAGTGACAGCTGTGAACAAAGCTGGTCCTGGAGAAGCCTCAGATCCAAGCCGAAAAGTCGTGGCCAAGCCGAGAAATCGTAAGTTTACCTCGTCTTCCGGCTTCCCTGGATATCCTGCCCACTAGCCGCTTCTTCTAGTGAAACCATGGATTGATCGCGAAAAAATGAAGACGATGACAGTGAAAGTGGGACAAGATGTCATATTCGATGTGCCTGTACGAGGAGAACCTCCTCCAGAGAAGACGTGGATGTTCGCAGATAAACCAATAGACGATTCCAAGGTTAAGGTACGGCTGAGATTGGACGTTCTCTCTCATCAGTTTGATTTCTCATTTAATTCAGATTGATAATGAAGACTATAAAACCAAATTGGTGCTACGAGGTGCAACTCGCGCTAACGCCGGGAAATTTACGCTCACAGCAAAGAATGCAAGTGGTATGGACACTCACAGTGTCGATGTCATTGTGCTTGGAAAACCGAGCCCTCCAGAAGGACCTCTGGAAGTCAGCAATGTGTTTGAGGATAAATGTGACCTGGAGTGGAAGGTAAATTCATTCAAAAATGCTCCACTCTGAGAGGTCCATTTTACTGTGGAGTTTAGCCACCAGTGGATGACGGCGGACTTCCAATTGACCACTACGACATCGAAAGACTAGATGAAGCTACTGGCCGATGGGTACCTTGTGGTCGTGCCGAGGGCACCAAAACAACCGTCACTAACCTACAACCGGGACATCAGTATAAGGTGAGCAATCGGATTTTATTTTTTCATGCTCTTCAAAGATTAATATTTCAGTTCCGCGTCCGTGCTGTGAACGGTGAGGGAGAGTCTGATCCACTGGCGACTGACCAATCTATCCTTGCCAAGAATCCTTACGAAGTTCCTGGTAAAATGGAAAAGCCCCAGGTCACCGACTGGGATAAGGATCACGCTGATTTGGAATGGAAACCACCTGCCGACGACGGTGGTGCTCCGATCGAGGAGTACGTTATTGAGCAAAAGGATAAACATGGAAGATGGGAACCAGTAAGACTTCTAGTTTTGTTCTGCACCGCCTGTACATGTTTGCAATCTATGACATCCTTTAGGTGATGACAGTTCCCGCAGGACAAACTACGGCTACCGTTGGAAATTTGAAAGAGGGCGAAGAGTATCAGTTCCGAGTCATTCCTAAAAATAAGGCTGGCCTTGGTGAACCTTCCGATCCAACCGACAAAATCATCGCCAAAACGCGATTCTGTAAGTGATTTCATATTTTTTATACTTACATAAAGACGTTACAACGGAACAAATGTCCTCCTTCTCCAGAGTTACTAAAATATTGAATTTATGAAATTGAATTTAATTTGCAATTTGTAGTGGTTCTAGTAGTTTGGGCATAGTTGTTGAATCTCCTTTGTTCTTATTCGAAATCACTTCACATTTTTTTCTATTTATACTACTACATGTTTCCAAAAGTTATTTGTTTATTCGCTTCATTCGCCGAAATGACGTGCTCAACACCGACAATACGGGGAAGGCGAGTAAACAAGCGAGAAGATCAAAGTTAGACCATCCACTGACGCCATACTAGTAGCTCATAAAATTGTATTTGAAGAGAATACTTTCTCGAAAAAAAAATATAAGAAATAAAGAGGCAAAAACGAGCACAGAAAATCACATATGGGATTAGGAACTACCTAGTTGGGCAACTTATTAACACACCATACTTCCCTCCGACGGTAGCCAAAATATTGGATAGCTCAGTTGGGAATTTTTTGAGAACTAGAACGACTGATTATAAGACTAGTTTGGCTGCGCACGCATTCGCGTGCATGAGACGGGGCTCAGCGGTAAAATCGGGCCCATCAGTATTTGTGTATTGATTTCAGCTTTCTGCTCGGTACATCTTACTTACGCCGCAAACTCGCCCACCATCCGCGGTGTGCACGCCCAGCGTCACATTCAACTCTACTCCTACTTTCACCTCTGGCGTATTTTTTTCAGGTCTCTAAGTTCATCTCGGAGGCCGATTATGAGGTCTTGTAAATGGCGTTATGAGTCACGAATTTCTGAGGCAGAACCCGCCCTTTTGCATGCGCTTAGGCAACAATGGCATTCAACCCTACTCCATACCTCAATACTTTGCACATTTCCCGGTCGCCGGAACTTCTGGAAACCGAGTTTATGAGAGCGGTGGCAAACTCCGCCACATCCGACGTGTGCCCGCCCAGCGTTCACATTCAACCTCTACTCCTACTTTTCACCTCTGGGCGTATTTTTTTCAGGTCTCTAAGTCATCTCGGAGCCGAATGAGGTCTTGTAAATGCCGCTATGGAGTCACGAATTTCTGAGGCAGACCCCGCCCACTTTGGTGCATGCTTAGCCAACAATGGGCATTCAACCCTACTCCATACTCAATACTTATGCACATTTTCCCGGTCGCCGCGAACTTCTAGGAACCGAGTTTATGAGGGCGGTGGCAAACTCCCGCACATCCGGCTGTGCCACGCCCAGCGGTCACATTCAACCTCTACTCCTACTTTCACCTTCTGGCGTATTTTTTTCAGGTCTCTAGTTCGTTTCGGAGCAGAATTATGAGGTCTTGTAGGGGACGAAATCGAGCTTACGTATCTTTGTGGAAAACCGCCCACTTTGTGTGCGTTGGCTCGCCCACTTGATATCAGTCGCTGATCATCTCTTCCCCAACCTTCTACTTTTCTCCATCTCTGGAACTTATTGGAAACGAGTTATAAGCCCAATTGCAAACTCCGCCCACTTTGGTGCATGCTCCGACCGCCAACAGCGGTTGACCCCTTTCCCTCTGCCAACCCTCACACGCTTTTTTCCCGGACTCCGGGACTCCTAGGAACCGAGTTATAAGCCCAATTGCGAACTCCGCCCACTTTGATGTAAGCCACGCCCATCCCTGACATTTAGCATCCCCTCCCCTCCTGACCTCTATCCGCTGGTTTCCCGTCTGTAAGGCATCTCGGAGCCGATTTATGAGCTCTTTAAGAAAATGCTGTCCGCTTCACGACACGCTTCGCCCATTGTGGGCCCTCCGTTCACATCATGAGTGGTGGAAATACCTTAGCATTGCTCCCCTGCACTAATTTCGTTTCTGGTCTGTAGGCTTCCTCTTAACCAAGTTATGAATATTTTCACTGAGCACCCATTTTCTAGAGAACGCCCCGCCCACTGAGGGTGGGTCTCCTCAGTTCAATCTGGCTTACCAACCCACACCTATGCCCACTTTTGTCCCGGTCTCGAGGCTGTTTTGTGACTGAATTTGAAATCATGGTCCTCAGTACCACTCATTTCGACGCACGCCAGCCCACTGTGGGCGGGGCTCCGCTTAGGTAATGTATGTTTTTTACTTCTCGAGATATGGTACACCCATCCCAAACATGACCTGGACCCAGTAGGTTGTTGTGCGCTTAATACGGAATTTCGTGACAGACAGACAGACAGACTTAGCGCATAGTAGGGATCCTAGCCATCATCAGAGTAGGCTCAGCCCAACTGGAATCCGAGCTACATATTCCTACATCTAATTTGCCCAACAGAATATCTCGATAGGGTCGTGTTACCGCATGGAAATGTGCTAGCAAACCGTAGTTCAGCTATGGCCATTATCCCCATTCATTATCTGTACATCAGTAATGAAGGTATTGGGGGAGTGGACCAATGTCAGCAGTACGTTAAAGAAAAAAAGGTCATGTTCAAATCGAATGTAAAGCGCTGTGCTTTGAGAGGGTGTGCCCATTTTCTGGTTAATTCTTTCATGTGTTGGAAAAAATACTAGCGGACAGTGTCCTGATGATTGTGAAGTGACGTCATGAAGGAATAGAGTTTGCAAACGAGAATGCTGGATATTTCCAAAAGTTTTAGCTTTTTTTGAAAATTTCAATAGTAGTAAATTTCAAGTGACCCAGAATTGTGGTTCGACCTATTTTCTGGGACAAATTCTTCACAACGATGTCACCACAAATGATCTTAAAAGCTTTTCAAATCATTTGCGGTGGCTTCTTGCTTCACCACAAATTCTTATAGAGTTAATATGATCTTAGGAACAAGCAAGACGGACCACTTTAAACAGTTTTGCACAACTTTCGTTATTGCATCCCAATTTTTATCCCCTACTAGCTAGGCTTATTTGAGCTGTGGGAAGCTTGCAATAGCAGTCTCTTCATTTCTACAAACGAAGAATCTTCACCGAATGAAAAGGCACAACGATAGATTGAACAAAAACATGATAATCTAATCGGACTGTGCACATAAAATGAAGCTTAACTAAAAAGCAACTATTTTGGGCGGTGACCAAATCGTCTTCCTGAGACCCATAATACCTTCCGATCGAGAATACATTGTTCATTTACGTTATATTCAGTGGCTCCTCACATTCACCGAGAGGATTTGGAGGATACTACTGTCCGAGTCGGTCAACAGATCAAATTTAATATCCACATCGATGGTGAACCGGCTCCAGCCGTCCGATGGACATTCAATGACAAGAGCATTGGAGAGAGCAAGGTACGTCCCACTGTCATTACTATTAGCGAAAAACTCATATGAGGTCACATTTGCAGGCTCAAATCGAGAATGAAGACTATCTCTCCAGATTCAACATTGCTAAGGCAGTACGTAAGCAAAGCGGCAAATACACCATCACAGCCACTAATGATAGTGGAACTGATTCGGTGACAATCACAATCAAAGTAAAGAGCAAGCCGTCAAAGCCAAAGGGACCGTTGGACGTGAAAGACGTGTTCGAAGATCGCGCCACCCTCAGTTGGAAGCCGCCTGAGGATGACGGCGGTGAACCAATCGAGCATTACGAGATCGAAAAGATGAGCACCAAGGACGGCATTTGGGTGCCATGTGGACGAACAGCTGACACTTCGTTTGTCGTTGATTCCCTCAACAAAGGAGACCATTACAAATTCCGCGTCAAAGTAAGTCAATGATGATATTCCGCTGTCGTATTGTGACAATAATTTGTAATTTAGGCCGTTAACAGCGAAGGAGCGTCCGATCCACTCGAAAGCGACACGGATATACTCGCAAAAAATCCATTCGATCGCCCAGACAGGCCCGGAAAGCCTGAACCAACGGACTGGGACAGTGACCACGTTGATTTGAAATGGGATCCACCACTCAATGATGGTGGTGCACCGATTGAAGAGTACCAAATTGAAAAACGAACTAAATATGGAAGGTAAGTGACTCTTTGTCTTTGGATTTCTCGTCCGATTAATGCCTGTGGTTCAGATGGGAGCCAGCGATCACTGTGCCCGGCGGACAGACCACAGCTACAGTGCCTGACCTGACCGCAAATGAAGAGTATGAGTTCCGTGTCATCGCTGTGAACAAAGGAGGTCCATCTGACCCCAGTGATGCCAGCAAGCCAGTCATCGCCAAACCTCGCAATCGTGAGTACTTGTGTTTGGGTTCTCATCAGCTGTTACGACCCTTCTCACTTACTCAGGAGAATGAAAAGCGCAATATATATTTCAGTGGCTCCGAAAATCGACCGTGATGCGCTGAAAGAGCTGAAAGTGAAAGCAGGGCAAGCTATCGGATGGGATGTGCCCGTAGAGGGTGAGCCTGTCCCAACTGTAACTTGGAGTTGGCCAGACCATCGCGAGATCCGAAACGGAGGCCGAGTGAAACTGGACAATCCCGATTACCGCACGAAGCTGCACATTCGGCAGATGGAGAGAGGTGACAGTGGAGTATACACCATCCGAGCTGTGAATCCTAACGGAGAAGACGAAGCTGTTGTCACAGTCACTGTCATAGGTAACGATACATTTATTTACAAATATCTGGAGATATTCAATTAATTGTTCTATTCTAGACAAACCATCACCTCCAAATGGACCCCTGGATGTGCACGACGTTTATGCTGACCACTGCACACTCGACTGGAAACCACCAGATGATGACGGAGGAATACCTATCGAAAATTACGTAATCGAGAAGCTCGACACAGCCACTGGTCGATGGGTTCCGGCTGCGAAAGTGCCCGGAAATCAAACAACAGCTGTTGTTGATGGACTTATTCCTGGACACGAATATAAGGTGAGAAATTGCGACAATCAGTGAGAGACTTGTCAACATACACAAAATTCAAACTAACGTAATCGTCGTCAGTGATTACCCGTACTGGCCAACTTCTTTTGTGTTTGTTTCATCAATCTTATCTCACTGACCAGTCATGGACATTGCGGTCGTCTGCAGATGAGACGGAACAAACTATTCCTTTTCTTTGAGTGATTCTGTTCAGCACTAATTCTGCTTTACTAAACATTATCAACGGCTGAATGCCAAATGCGCATTGTATCATAATGCGGTAATCTGAAACGGCGACCTCTAACAAAAATAGGTAAATTGAGTGAAAACATTAACCTAAAAAAATTTTAAAAGAGATGACAAAGAAATGGGCTAGTTCCTTCCCGCCATGCCGCTTAGGACGGAATCCAAATTAGGAGCCGATGCCGAACCAATTACGTATTTCGCGGAAGCTTTGCGGGCGTCCGCGGTTGCCGTGCGTACCTAACAATTGAGGATTCATTGGCCGACGCGACCCCCGCCGCAGACGCTAGCGAATCGCCGCGATTCGCAAGGTCTGACATGGCCTAGAAGGATGTCCCCCCCTCCCTTGTGCGCTCTTCAATAAGCAAGAGAGGAAAAAGCCTCTAATGAACATGTTTTCAAAGAAGGCCCTCCCTCTGAGATAAGTGGGTTGAAAAGCCGCAGGAATAGTTTTCTCTTAACTCGACTCAAGAATATATAAATATTAAATAAACATACAACGACTATAAGAGGCATAGCTGGCGGCACTGGTAGCTACTGCCAACATGCTGCGAACGATCGCCATCTTCCGGAAGCCAGAATGTAGCTTCATATCTCCTACTGAAATCCATTAAGTTTTGCAAACAACCTAAACTTAATGATCCATAAATTACATCCCACATGATCTCGGTTATAAGGGTATTTCAGTTCCGTGTGGCGGCAGTGAATGCCGAAGGAGAGTCTGATCCTTTGGAGACATTTGGGTCGACTCTTGCCAAAGATCCGTTCGACAAACCTGGAAAGACCACTCCTCCAGAAGTCACAGACTGGGATAAGGACCACGCGGATCTGAAGTGGAATCCGCCTATAAACGATGGTGGCGCTCCAATCGAAGGCTATATCATTGAAATGAAAGAGAAGCACTCTCCGTTCTGGACCGAAGCACTGCAGGTTCGCAATTTGTGGTACACTTTTTGTTATAGCTCTGGAAAGTTCACAAAATTTCAGGTTCCTGGGGACAAGACTACTGCGACTGTACCAAACCTCAAAGAGGGCAATGAATACGAGTTCAGAATCCGCGCCAAGAACAAGGCTGGCACTGGAGATCCATCGGATCCTTCTCAAACGATCATTGCAAAGTCTAGAAACGGTATTCCTCTAAATATTCATTTGAGAACTTCAAAGAGAACAATCATTTTCCCATTTAGTTCCCCCGAAAATCGACCGCAGTGCTTTGACAGAGATCAAGGTACGAGCCGGAAACGAAATTCACCTGAACGTTCCCGTCTCCGGTGAACCACCACCAGAGGTCACCTGGTCATTTGCGGATAAACCGCTGGAATCAGATGATCATATCAAAATCGACAATGAAGACTACAAGGTAAGTGTAAGACTAGCTCGACGTTGACGCGGCTTTTCTTCACAAAAAATTCTCTCCTATTTAGACGAAATTCCTCGTGAAAAGAGCTTTACGCTCTGACACGGGAACCTACGTGATCACTGCAACAAACGTGAATGGCACGGACACAGCTGAGCTCAAAGTGACCGTGTTGGATCACCCTGGAGAACCACGAGGGCCACTCGATATTAGCAATGTCACTAAAGAGGGTTGTGACTTGGCCTGGAAAGAACCAGATGATGACGGAGGTAAATTCTTGCAAATCGCAAGTTTATTACGTTCGTAATGCGGCAGATAAAACTGTTCGTTGCAGGAGCAGAAATCGATCACTACGTTATTGAAAAACAAGACGCCAATACAGGCAGATGGACTGCTTGTGGTGAGAGCAAGGACACTAAATTCCATGTTGATGATCTTGTCCAAGGCCATGAGTATAAGGTTCGCCTTATTTTCTTGTGACTTCAGCGCCACCTTGAAGATTGCTGGGCACCGTCTCTTTAGTCGAGTACAACTTAATGCTTTCAGTTCCGAGTGAAGGCAGTGAATCGCTACGGCGACTCAGACCCATTGGAAGCAGCCAAATCCATAATCGCAAAGGATCCTTTCGATTGCGCCGATGCGCCAGGAATTCCAGAGATCGTCGACTGGGACAAGGACCACGCAGATCTGCAATGGACACCTCCACTCGACGACGGAGGTGCTCCTGTAGAAGAGTATCTCATAGAAATGAAGGCCGGCAACGGTGAATGGTTGCCTGCCAAGAAAGTCCCAGCTGATCAACTCACCACCACCGTCGACAATTTGAAGCCAGGTCAGACATATCAGTTCCGAGTGAAAGCCTTGAACAAAGCGGGAGAATCTCGACCGTCTGATCCCAGCAAGGCAATGATTGCTAAGCCAAGAAATCTGCCGCCAAAGATCGATCGTGACATGTTCAACGATCTTCGCATCAAAGCTGGTCAGTCGATCAGCTTTGACGTGAATGTGGAAGGAGAGCCAGCGCCAAAGATTGAGTGGTTCCTGAACGGAACACCGATTCAATCACTTGGTAAAACGAAGATTGATAACTCCAACGATAACAATACCAAGTTGGACACCAAGGATGCAGCGAGGGCCGACAGTGGCAAATACAAAATCGTGGCTACAAATGAAAATGGACGCGATGAAGCTGAGGTCAACGTAAATGTTCTTGGTAAGGCTTCTTGCTTCGCTTCTTCGTAATGCAGATCAAAAACAGTATTTTAGATATCCCCGGAACTCCTGAAGGACCACTGACTGTCAAGGACATCACAAAGGATTCGTGTACGTTGAAATGGCACCCACCAGAGGACGACGGTGGCTCTCCAATCACCAACTATATTGTTGAGAAACAAGAAGACGACGGTCGATGGGTACCGGTACGTTCATCACCATCTTGCACCTTCCTTCTCATGTGCGATGAATTTGGTCCATTTCAGTGCGGAGAAACGGCTGATACAAACCTGAAAGTTGGAAAATTGAACGAGGGCCACGAATACAAATTCCGCGTGAAAGCAGTGAATAGGCAGGGTGTTTCAGCCCCTCTCCAGACCGACCATGCCATTGTGGCCAAGAATCCATTCGATGAGCCTGGATGCCCCCACAGACGTTACTCCTGTTGACTGGGATAAGGATCATGTGGATCTTGAATGGAAGGTCCTGTGTCTTTCGCAATTATCAACTTAACCTGATCGAATTTTAATGCTTTCAGGCTCCTGAGAACACTGGAGGAGCTCCTATCGAGCAATATATCGTTGAAAAGAAGGACAAATACGGTGACTGGGTACCATGCGCGACTGTGGATGGCAAAACCACGAAAGCAACAGCTAGCAACCTGGTTGCTGGCGAAAGCTATCAATTCCGCGTGAAAGCCGTGAACAAAGCCGGACCAGGCAAACCTTCTGAACCGACGGATAATATCATCGCGAAGCCGAGGAAAAGTAAGCTTTGACAGAGTTTCTGCGTTGATAGGTGTTTGTGTAATTGAGTTTGCATTTCCAGTGGCACCGAAGATCAACCTGGCAGGCCTGCTCGATCTACGCATCAAAGCCGGCACCCCGTTGAAACTGGAAGTGATGTTTGAAGGAGAGCCAGCACCAGCAGCGATCTGGCGCGCCAATGACACTGTACTCAATGACCTTCCACGGGCCGAAGTTACAACCACGCCCACTTCATCCGAACTGCAGATTTTCTCCAGTGTCAGAGGTGATACAGGGGTGTACACAGTTTCTGTAGAGAACGAACATGGCAAAGATAAAGCGCAGTGCAACGTCACGGTGTTAGACGTGCCCAGTCCTCCAGAAGGACCTCTGAAGGTGAACGAAATCCACAAAGAAGGATGTACGCTGCACTGGAAGCCACCACTTGATAATGGAGGTACGAAAGAAAATATTATAGAGCAGTTTTTTTGGTGATGCAGATATGAAAAAATTTGGTGATTTTCAGGCTCGGAGATTCTTCATTATCGCGTTGAAAAAATGGATACCTCACGTGGATCATGGCAAGAGGTCGGCGAATTCCCTGATTGCACGGCCAAAGTGGGAAAACTGATACATATGAAAGAGTACCAGTTCCGAGTGATGGCCGTCAATCTGCAAGGAGAGTCGAAACGCCTTGAAACTACTGAGCCAATAATCGCTAAGAACGAATATGGCTAGTCGTGTCATCTTTCGTATTTCACTTGAGGCAGCCATGAGTGGCTTAACGTTTTCAAAATATCGAAGCCATCTTTTTCAAAGATGTGATAAAAGTCGATGCAAACCTTCACTAGTTACTAGCTTATGAGTTCGAACTTAATTACAGATGTGCCTGACCCGGTAGACAAACCGGAGGTGGTGGATTGGGACAAAGATCGTATTGACATTCAATGGAAGCCTCCAGCGAACAACGGAGGAAGCCCAGTGAAATCCTATATCGTTGAGAAAAAGGAGAAAGGCAGTGCGATTTGGAACGAGGCGGGCAAGACATCCGGCACAAAGTTCTCAGCCAACAACCTCAAACCTGGTGTTGAATATGAGTTCCGTGTCATTGCTGTCAATGAAGCCGGTCCCTCGGATCCTTCAGATCCAACTGACCCGCAGATCACCAAGCCCAGATACTGTGAGTTTGTTAGTTACCAATGGTGTTTATGTGGATTCTTTATCAAATCGCTTCGATTTTCAGTGAAACCGAAAATCCTCACGCAGACTCGAAAGATCAAGATCAAAGCTGGTCACACCCACACGATGGAGGTGGAGTTCGATGGAGCACCAGATCCGACACCGACTTGGACGTTCAAAGAAGGACAAGCGCTGCCGTCAGAACTGTTGATCGAGTCAAAACCTGGTGTCGCCTCCATCTTCTTCCCAGGTGCTAAACGATCTGACAGCGGACCGTTCACATTGAAGGTGAAGAACGAAGTAGGCGAAGACGAAGGAGTGTTTGAGGTTATTGTGCAAGGTTGGTTAATTTTTGTTTGATGTTAACTGACTGACGAGTACTTCACAATTTCAGACCGCCCAGCGACTCCTGTAGGACCCCTCGAAGTGTCCAATGTGACCAAAGACAGTTGTGTTATTAGCTGGAACCCACCAGAGGACGACGGTGGAGCTGAGATCACCAATTATGTGGTGGAGAAGCGCGACACGAAGACCAACACTTGGGTTCCTGTGTCGGCGTTTGTTACTGGAACAAGATGCACGGTGCCCAAACTGGTTGAGGGCCATGAATACGAATTGAGAGTGATGGCTGAAAATGCCTTTGGACGCTCAGATCCCCTGAACACTACCGAACCAGTACTCGCTAAGGATCCATTCGGAGCGCCCGGAAAACCTGGCAAGGTAATTGACATGTAAAACCTTTTCCCGGATCACCACTTAATAATTCCCACTCTTACAGCCTGAAATCGTCGACACTGACAATGACCATATCGACATCAAATGGGATCCACCTCGTGACAACGGTGGTTCTCCCATCGATCATTACGACGTCGAAAGGAAGGATGTGAAGACCGGGCGATGGGTCAAGGTGAGTCAGCTTCATCGAAGGATTTCTTATTGTCAGACTTACGCAAGGGACTTTCAGGTCAACACCACTCCTGTTCATGGTACAGCATTCTCGGACGCTCGCGTGCAAAAAAGACCATACCTACGAGTACCGAGTAGTGGCAGTGAACAAGAGCGGACCGGGCGAGCCGTCAGATCCATCGGCTGCCGCAACAGCAAAACCAATGTTCGAGGCGCCAGGATTTGATATGGATATCGATGGAAAAGAGTTCCGTGTTAAAGCCGGTGATCCACTGGATATTATCATTCCTATGCACGGATCACCCAAGCCTGAAGTGAAATGGATCAAGGATGGCAAGGAGATCCCAGGAGTCGAAACCACTGAAAGTCAGACGCACCTCCTTATCCCCTCGTCGAGACGAAGTGACGGTGGTGCAGTGAAAATCAAAGCGAGTAACAATCTTGGAGATGCCGAAGCTAATATCAAAATCACAGTCATTGACAAACCTGGTGCTCCTGAGAGCCTTGCGTACGATACCGTGACGAGACACACCTGCACCCTTAAATGGACGCCTCCGAAAGATGACGGAAATTCCGATATCACAGGTTACAAGATTGAGTATCAAGAGGTGGGATCACAGTTGTGGGAAAAGATTCCTGGCACTATTCCAAACACCTCTTACACAGTTCGTGGACTGGAACACGGTCAGCAGTATCGATTCCGTGTTCGTGCCGAAAATATGGTCGGCTTATCAGACTATGTTACTGGTGCCCCTGTCGTTATAAAAGACCCATTCAATCCACCAGGAGCACCGTCCACTCCGGATGTAACTGGCTATGACTCGAACCTCGTGTCATTAGCCTGGAATCCACCAAAGGACGATGGTGGTTCCCCAATCCTCGGTTACGTTGTTGAACGATTCGAGAAGAAAGGTGGTGGCGACTGGGCTCCCATTAAGATGCCTTTGATCAAGGGAACAGAAGTGACAATTCCGAACCTTCATGAGGGTGAAACCTATCAGTTCCGAATCAGAGCAGTGAATGCTGCTGGTGAAGGAGAAGCCAGTAATGGATCCGATCCAGTCACCTGCCAAGCATTTGTTGGTGAGTTTCTTGTTGAGGATGCATCATTTGAGTTGGGTCAGTTTCGTATGCTTGAAATTGAATTGCAGTTCCTCCCGGAGCACCGGATCAACCAAGAATCGGAAGCATCACAAGGAATTCTGCTGAAGTACTTTGGAGTCGGCCTACAAAAGACGGAGGTGCTCCGATTGATGGTTATTACGTTGAAAAGAAGAAGATTGGAGATCCGGAATGGAGCAGGGTGAACGCAAAGCCGATAAAGGTGAGAACATGACTTTTCAATCGGACTCATATAAAATGATTTTTGATTCACACATTGCTTTCCAGGGAACCTCATTAGTCGTGGACGGCCTCGGCGAAAAAGAAGAATATGAATTCCGAGTAGTTGCCGTGAACTCAGCCGGTGAAGGCGAGCCTTCAAAACCGTCCGATCTTGTCGTAATCCAGGAGCAGCCAGGGCGACCAATATTCGATCTGTCGAACCTTAAGGACATAACTGTTCGTGCTGGAGAGACCATTCAAATAAAGATCCCTTACTCCGGCGGAAATCCAAAACCGATCGTCGACTTGTTTAATGGAGCGACACCGCTCTTCGAGAATGACCGCACTGTAATCGATGTGAACCCTGATTCGATAGTGATCACGACGACTGACTCGAAGAGAAGCGACGCAGGCCCGTACAAAATTGTCCTCTCAAACCGATTGGGCAAGGACATTGCCAAGCTGAACGTGAACGTGCTCGATGTTCCCGGCAAGCCCACTGGACCTATTCGTGCCACTGACATCCAAGGAGATGCGATGACCCTGCATTGGTCGCCTCCTAAGGACAATGGAGGTGACGACGTTACCAACTACGTCGTTGAGAAGAGAACTCCAGGCGGAGAATGGGTCCCCTGTGGACATCCCGTTGGAACATCACTTCGAGTCAGAAATCTCGACAGGAACCAGCCGTACGAATTCCGCGTTTCAGCAGAAAACCAATACGGAGTGGGACAACCGCTTGAAACGGACGACGTCATTGTCGCCAAGGATCCCTTCAGTGAGTCTACATAGCGATATAAACATTTAGTATACATCTACACAATATGTTTCGACCATTTCATTCTATTTCGATCTCTAATAACGTCAACTTTCAGACCCACCCGGAGCTCCTGGACAGCCGGAAGCTGTTGAAACATCCGAGGAGGCGATTGTTCTTCAGTGGACGCGTCCGCTGAGTGACGGTGGAGCGCCAATTCAGGGTTATGTGATCGAAAAACGAGAAGTAGGAACCAAGGAATGGACCAAAGCCGCCTACGGAACAGTACCGGAAACCAAACACAGGGTGAGTGACTGAAAATCGAAAGACTGAACATGGAACAAGTGACAGCCAGTTTCAGGTCACTGGACTCACCCCTAAGAAGGAGTATGAGTTCCGAGTGTGTGCCACTAATGCGGCTGGAAATGGTGACTGGAGCGAAGCCAGCTTCCCAATTGCCGCCGAGAGTGCGCCCAAAAAGCCAATCATCGACCTCGCAATGCTCACAAGAGACGTTATCGCTTATGCTGGAGAAACGGCTAAGGTATGATTGGCTCCATTATCTGAACCGTTTTCTTCCTTTGAAATTGGTAACTTTTTCTGCAAGCTAATTTTTTATATATTACCACTTTTAGATTCTCGTACCGTACAGTGCATCCCCCATGCCACGAATCTCTTGGACTAAGGGCGATATAAAATTGGATGAGCGCGATAAGAGAAACAAGGTGGACAGCAACGACTTCCTTACCGCTATGACTATTGACAAATGCGAGCTCAGCGACAGCGGACTGTATACTATCACTGTGAGTCAACTTTTTATTTTGTCTCAAGAGTAAAGATTGAAAGAATCGATTTCAGCTGGAGAATTCGATGGGCAAGGACAGTGCAACGGTTAAGTTACGAGTAGTGGATCGTCCTTCAGCTCCTGAGGGACCACTTGACATCACTGACATTGCTCCAGACTGCTGCACTTTGTCATGGAAACCGCCAAAGAGCGACGGTGGATCGCCGATTACTAACTACATCGTTGAAAAGCTTTGCTTGAAGGGTGCTGATCCAAAATGGGAGAGAGTTTCTTCATTTGTAAGGAACACGACATTTATTGTTCCGCGCCTGCAAGCTGGGGAGCAGTACAAATTCCGCGTCCGTGCTGAGAATCAGTTTGGCATCTCGGAACCACTTGAGAACCCCGACGCCATCATCGCCAAATATCAGTTCAATGTACCTTCTCAACCGGAAGCCCCAACTGTTCGTGACATGGATTCCACTTGGGCGGAGATCGAATGGGATACACCAGCTAATGGTGGCTCAAAGATTCTTGGCTACCAAGTACAGTATCGTGAGGCGTCGTCTGCCAAATGGATCAACGCCAGTTCAGACCTTATAACACAAAATTCAATGAGGATAAACAACCTCCGCGAAAATGGAGAATATGAATTCAGAGTTTCGGCAAAGAACGCTGCTGGATTCTCTAAACCTTCGCCACCTTCGGAGAGAACAAAACTACGAGCGAAATTCGGACCTCCCGGACCACCAAGTCAGGCGAATGCTACCTCGATTGGGCGTAACCACGTAACACTAACTTGGGTAGCACCACTCGATGATGGAGGATCTCCGATCACAGGATACATCGTGGAACAACGCGAACATGGTAGCACATTGTGGACTAAAGTTAGCGATTACAATATCCGTGACCCAGAATTCACTGTACCTGGTTTGAAGGAGTTCCACGACTACGAGTTCCGAATAATCGCAATCAATAAGCACGGAAAAGGAATACCTTCGCTGCCAACAGGACCTATAAAGATTCAAGATCTCAACGGTTCTCGACCACAGATCGTCGTGAAGCCAGCAGATACTGCAGAGCCATACAACAGGCGAGCAGTCTTCGTCTGCGAAGCTGTCGGTCGACCTGAACCTGTATGCCGATGGATCAGGAATGGCCGCGAGCTGCCCGAAAGCAGCCGATATCGCTTCGAGGCACATGACGGCACATACAAATTCACAATCAAAGAAGTTTGGGATATCGACGCTGGGGAATATACTTGCGAAGTGTCGAACGTATATGGAAGCGATTCTGCTACGGCTAAACTGATCGTTCAAGGTAATGATTGTTTTTTTATTGAATGTTTCTTCTTGGGAGAAAATCGATAACGAAATTGCTTTTTTCAGTCTCCTCCCATTATCGAGAAAGATGTACCTAGCCGAAGACACGATATTGGCGAGGGGCGAGATGTCCGCTGAAGATCTAACTTCCAGGCACATGCCGTCCATTCAAACACTGTCACTTTGACGTGAACAAGAGGAGGTCGTCGCTGATCATCCCGACAGATTCGCGACCCGTCGAACTTGCGTCATATCCTCATCACACTACCATCTGCTCTCAACCCAGCGACCAGGCCGCTACGAGTACCCATATAGTTGACAGTGGCGTGGCTTCAAGCAAGGATTTGGCTGAATGTCACCGTACGAACTTGAGCCAGAGCTCCGCAGACCGCTACAGCTTCAGTAATGTTGGTACCGCCATCCAACTCAAGCCTCTCTTGGCTGCCACCAGTGAATGACGGAGGCGCGAAGTATTACCAACTATGTGATTAGAAGAACGAGAACGACTGCGAAAAGAAGACTAGGACCGTACGTCCGCGTCCACGTGTTCCGGATTTAATCTTGTTCAGCGTAACAGAGGGCTACTGTCGCACGAACGCATCGAGTATGAATTCCGTCGTGAGTGAGGCTGGCCGATGAGAATGGTAAGGGTACCGTGCTTTGGGAGAAGAACGCAGTAGTTCACTCGACTTCCGTACGATCGTCCATGGAGCGCCGCAACCGATCTGGAAAGTGCGAGGAAGTTGGCGATGCTGCTTTGACGGACATGGCATCGACCGTTGTTGAACGGTGGAGGTCGCATCCTGCGGGTACTACATCGAGATATGTGAAGAATGACAAAGGAACAGAACAGGGTTCGATGCCAACCAGAATGCCATCGCCGGCATAAAACAGCTTTCACCGTTCAAAGTCTCAATACGACGGAAAGGGAAATAACAATTCCTGATTGGCAGTTAACGAACGCTCGATTGTCGGATTCCGATTGAAAGATGTAAGTGTAGAACTAATTTTATGTAGAAACACCCAATAACGAAATATTTCAGGGATTTGGAATCAAGTCAGCGCCAGTGGTGGCCCCTCGCCGAGATCATGTTCCGCAGCGTGAGTGACCATCTGTTGAACCAGCGACGTATGCGCATTCGATGTGCAAGATCACTGGTCTCATCGACAGAGTACATTGTTCCAAGGCCTGAAGGAACTTGTGGACACCTTCGAGATTACGACCTCTCGAAAGTCGACTGCAGATTCTCATGGTCAACCACGCGATATCCGGATGACGCAGAAGTAACACAATGTCGGGCGTAACGAACAAATTCGTACAAAAGCACGAAGAGCACAGTATACTCGTTTAATTAGTCAAAGCCGAGAGTGTTCCTTCCACCGTCGCTAATATCCGACGTGGGACGAAAGCCAAAGAGGCGAAACGATTGGAATTGAAGATCCCATACAAAGCTTTCCACCACGAGTCCGAATCTTCGATGGGGTGGACCCAAAAGATAGGTGAGAAATCGAGAGCGGTGGTCGCTAGCGAATCACAAACTGACGACAAATTGCACACTTGCGGGCATGCAGGTAATTGCGACAAGAGAGGATTACGGTCTAATATCGAGTGATTTGTAGAATAGTGTAGGACAAGATTTCAACAGTTGGTGTCAACTTTGTGCCGATTGGCCCAGTAACGCCTCGATTCCGCCAGTAAGTTGAAAATTGTTGGATTAAGCTGTAAGGCCTTTCATGAAGCCACCCAATCTTGACGGTGGCATCATAGTCACAGCCATACATTGTCGAGAAAGAGAGACACTAGCGGCAGGCAGCCTGGGAACCAGTGCCAAAAACTCGCTTTGCCTGTCTTACTGTGGAGGGATGCCGCCCAAGAAACTACGAGTTCCGAGTCATGCGAGAACAAGCATGGTGTTTTCTCACCGTGCGAGCCGACTACATCCAGTGTTGATTCAGCCGGTGATGACCGCATACGACCAAAGGAACACTCGACGTCCGACGATTCTGGCAAGGTTACAATTCGAGTAAAGGACCAAGCCATGGCCAAACTACGACGGTTATAGTAATCGATGGTGTGGAACGCAGTACTATCCACAAGAAAGTTGAAATTAAGGCAGCTGGGAGATGCTTAATTTCAACTTCTTGTGGAAAGTACTGCTTCCAGCACATCGATTACGAAACCGGTCGTAGTTGGCCATGTTGTCCTTTACCTGAATGAACCTTGCCAGAATCGTCGATCGTCGTAGTTCCTTGGTCGTATGCGGTCATCACCGGAAATCAACACTGGAGTAGTCGGCTCGCACGGTTAGATGAAACACCAATGCATTGTTCTCGGCACTGACTCGGAACTCGTAGGTCCTTCTGGGGCGACTCCCTCCACAGTAAGAAGGCAAAGCGAGTTTGGCGCATCTTTCCCAGGGCGCCTCCGCTAGTGTCTCTCTTCTCGACAATGTACTGGTGACTATGGATCCCACCGTCAAGATTTGTGGCTTCCATGAAGGATTACAGCTTCATCCAACACATTTCCAACTATGGGGAATCGAGGCGTTCTGGGCAATCGGCCACGGTGACACCACTGTTGTTGAGTCTTGTCCTACACTATTTTCTACAACTACTCGATATTGACGCCGTAATGCCTCTCTTGGGCATTACTGATGCGGCAAAGTGCGAATTTGTCGTCGGTCGTGATTTCGTAGCGACCCACCGCTCTCGACTTTCTCATCCTTCTTTGGTCCAATCGAGATTCGGCTCGTGGAAAGCTTTTGTATGGGATCTTCAATTCAATCGTTTCGCTCTATTTGAGCTTCGTACCTCACCGTGGTAGCGAGGTGGAAGGACACTCTCGGCTTTGACAATAATAGTAACTCGTGCTCTCGTGCTCTTTGTACAGAATTTGTTCGTAGCGCGACATGTGTACTCGTCTGCGTCATCCGGATTCGCGTGTTGACCATGAGAATCTGGCACTCGCCTTTCGAGAGGATCGTGAATCTCGAGGTCCACAAAGTTCTTCATGTCCTTTTGAACGCCAACTGTACTCCGGTACGTGGAGAAACCACAGTGATCTTGCACTGCCGAATGTCGCACTAGCGTTCCTGGTTCAAACAATTGCCCAACTCAGCTGGTAAATGATCTGCGGGGAGTGGCACCACTGCTGACTGAATTTCCAGATCCCTGAAAATAATTTCGTTATTTGGTTTTCTAACATAACAAATGCTTACACTTACATTTCAGCGAGATCCGACAATCCAGCGTCGTTAACTGCAAATACACGGAATTGTATTTCCTTCCGTCGATGAGACCTTGAACGGTGAAAGTGTTAGCCGGCTGATGGATCTGGTTGCATCGAACCATGTCGTTCCTTGTCATCTCACATTTCTCGATGTAGTACCCCGCGAATGCGAAGCTCAACCGTCAGACAACGTCGATGCCATGTCAACGTCAAGCAGTCATCGCCAACTTCCGCCACTTCCAGATCGGTTGGCGCTCACATGGACGATCGTCACGGAAGTCGAGTGACTACTGCGTTCTCCCCCACAAGCGGTACTCCTTGACGCATTCTCATCGCAGCACTCACGCGGATTCATAACTCATGGTCTCGAATAGCCCTTGTACGGTGAAAGATAAATCGCGAACACCTGGACGCGACTACGGTCAAGATCTCTTTTCGCTACGTCTTCGCTTCTCTATCACATGAGTTGGTAACATCTTCGAGCCTCCGTCATTCACCTGGTGGACGCCAAGAGAGGCTGATCTGTGCGTACCAACATTACTGAAGTGTAGCGGTCCTTGCCGGAGCTCCAGGAAGTCGCGGTGAACATTCAGCCAAATCCTTGTTGAAGCACGCCACTGTCATTCTTATGGTACTCGTAGCGGCCGGCTGCGCGGTTGAGAGCGATGGTATAGTGATGAGGATATGATCGTCAAAGTCGACGGTGCGAATTGTCGGATGATCAGCGACGACCTCCTCTTTGTTCAACGTCAGTGAGTGTTGAATGGCGGCGTGCCTGAGAAGTAGATCTTCACAGCGGACCATGCTCGCCCATCGGCAATATCGTGTTGGTACATTCTTTCTCGAATAATGGGAGACTGAAAAAACACTTTCGTTATCGATTTTCTCCAAAGAAGAAACATTTAATAAAAAAAACAATCATTACCTTGAACGATCAGTTTAGTGTAGCAGAAATCGCTTCCATATACCGTTCGACACTTCGCAAGTATATTCCGCAGCGTCGATATCCCAAACTTCTTTGATTGTGAATTTGTATGTGCCGTCATGTGCCTCGAAGGCGATATCGGCTGCTTTCGGCCAGCTCGCGGCCAATTCTGATGCGCATCGCATACAGGTTCAGGTCGACCGACAGCTTCGGCAAACGAAGACTGCTCGCCTGTTGTATGGCTCTGCAGTATCTGCTGGCTCACGACGATCTGTGGTCGAGAACCGTGAGATCTTGATCTTTATAGGTCCTGTTGGCAGGGAAGTATTCCTTTTCCCGTGCTTATTGATTGGAATTATTCGAACTCGTAGTCGTGAACTCTTTCAACCAGGTACAGTGAATTCTGGTCACGATGATGTAATCGCTAACTTTAGTCCACATATGTGCTACAATGTTCGCGCTGTTCCACGATTATCCTTGATCGAGAATCCTCCATCATCGAGTGGTGCTACCCAAGTAGTGTTACGTGGGTTACGCCAATCGAGGTAGCATTCGCCTCACTTGGTGGTCCGGGAGGTCCGAATTTCGCTCGTAGTTTTGTTCTCTCCTAAGGTGGCGAAGGTTAAGAGAATCCAGCAGCGTTCTTTGCCGAAACCCTGAATTCATATTCCCCATTTCGCGGAGGTTGTTAATCCTCATTGAATTGTTGTGTTATAGAGGTCTTGAACATGGCGTTGATCCATTTGGCAAGACTGACGCCTCACGATATTGTACTTGGTACCAAGAATCTTTGAGCCACCATTGGCTGGTGTAATCCCATTCGATCTCCGCCCAAGTGGAATCCCATGTCACGAAACGTTGGGGCTTCCGTTGAGAAGGTACATTGAACTGATATTTGGCGATGATGGCGTCGGGGTCTCAAAGTGGTTCCGAGATGCCAAACTGATGCCAGCACGACGCGAAAATTGTATTGCTCCCCAG